TCCACTGCTGTTCATAGCTCTCACCAAGCCGCAGCAGAGTGACACTACCCGTCAGCTCTTGGAAGCCCAGTATCAGCAAAGAGGTGAAGAGCCGACTTGAGAAAATTGCCAGCAGCCCCAGGGAATCTGGGCTCTCCTTGTTGACCTCAGGTAAATCACTGAAATACCACCCAGCCAATACTAAATACGGAGCCCAGAGACTTCATCCTGGTGGTGTCAACTAGAAGTAAACTGACAGTCAACTGAGCAGCAGGGGTGAGAGGGATTTGGGGGGGTTTTGGCTCCTTTTTGGGGTGGAGAGGGTGCCGGTACTTTCTGAAAACAGCCTGTAAGACTACTACTTAAAACAGGCTCAAGATTTACACAGATATCAAAATGAAATCTAATTCTAAAAAGAAATTAAAAATCATTTTTATGCTAAATTTAGCCACTATTGCCCTTAAGTGTTTTCATTACTATTCTAAAGGGGTCTCTGCAAGGGCATTGTGGAGGACCCAGCTAAGCCTGCACCCAAAACCTAGCAGCCAGGCTCGAGCAAGGAATGTGCCAAGACCGATACAAAACATGAGTCAAATCAGCAGATTTCCATACTGACCCACCCCTGTGTATTAGGACCTATAAACGATGCCCCAGTGACACACAAGCAACTGTGAAACTGTTTGCTCTGCAGAACATGAAGCATCGAAGTATTGCCATTGTGTACCTGGAAGACAACCTGCTGTCCAGGAGCTGACTTTTAAGCAAATAATCTGAGAACTCCCAGTTAGCTGGCACTGGGGAAAAAAAAAAAATCAAAAACAGAAAAAAAAAAGCTTCACACATTCACCGAGACTAGAACCTTCCCCTCTCACACTTCCCTGCCAATGAGTGTCAGACCTACCAAGGAGGTGAAGGTTAACATCTGGGTAGCCTAAGGTTCCCATGTACAAAGTGAGAATATGGTCATTTGACACCTATTACCTTTGCTTATACAACCACCTTTCCTTGAGATCTGGTCTCTTACCAGAAACTGCCTTCAAATGCTATCAAAGAGCAGATTACAATTTCTTTTCACAAATATTAACATACCACAGTTTCTAAATTAACAATTCAAGCACTGTTTCATACAACATCACAACCCCCTGAAAACTTTATCTCCCACACCATTTGGTGAGGGGAAAGGTGTCTCAAAAGAATCCTCCTAAAATCTTTTTGATTCAGCAGGAAAACTGTTAATTCACTTATTTTAACTAGAAAATCAGGGCTATATACAAGGTCTAGGAACATCACTACAAGCTCATGATACGCAGGACATCAGACTGAACCATCACAGAGACTGAACGATCCCTGTAGGGATTGAACATGAGACTGAACGAACAACTCCTGTAAATCTATGATTTCCTATTTCATATTCTTGTTTACTGTGCTCATTTACATCACACAAAGACAACATAGTATCACTAAAAATTTACAAAAAAAAATTATACCTACCCATTACCTGTGCATGCTTATTTATACTTGCAAGAAAAAGAAGATAAAAGGTGAAACGCTTACAATATCCCAAAAACCCCAAAGCACACAAAGATTATGGTTACAGTTGAAAGCAACCAAAAAAAAAAAAGTCAGAAACATCTCTACAACTAGATAAACCAAAGCTACAGAATGGAGAATTACTTCTTTTTGATAAAAGGCTACCTGATACATCTTTTTTATAATAATTTTCCACATTTTAACACTAGGTTGTAGTCAACCATTTGATAAACAGGTTTCATCTCAACTGCCTGTCTGTCTCCTTCCTTTTGGGGCAGTCCATCATCTCTTGCCATTAATGTTAAGCCAGTCAGGTGTAGCTGACTTCCCCTTCTCAAAATTCCTCTTACCTTCTCACCAGCATTTTTTTATTATTAAATTAATTGCTAGGAAGCTACATAAAACCTGCACAGCCCCTGACCGGCAGGGTTTGGAAAATGCACCTAGCATTTCTCAGGCCATTTGGCCCCTGCCCAAACTGTACTCGTTTAACACTCACTCAGGAATTGTGCCAGAGGCTGCATCAGTCCAGCCACATGAACAGAGCATCATTAGTGTGCCACCATGCAAACAAGGTGATCAATTTTTGCTGACTCCAGTTGCCCTGGACAAGGTGGACTTTTCAAACATCTCTTATCATTTGCTTGTTCATTCCCCATAAACACAAACTGCAGAAAAAATGGATCATGTTTCAGACACAAAGCTTCATTTGGAAGAAAAGCAAAGGAACAGAAAGATTTCCTATACAGGCTACACAGACCAACTTCAAGCACAGCCTGTCATATCAATAACTCAGACCACAACTGAAGATTTAGTATTGACAGCAGTGTTAACCCATAATGCATTTTTTTAGATTTATGAATCCTAGTCAAAGACGACTGCATCCAGAACTAACTGCAGTACATAGGTGTGTTATCTATATGCTTTTTAAGTCTTAGAATTTTACGGACAGGAGAACCTTACTATTATGTGGATTATCTTCCCTAAGTTTTTTTCCATTCTCGACATGTCTCTTCAACCTAAGTAAGGCTGAAATACCAAGCCAGAAAACCGAGGTCAAGTTTTGAAGTTACTTGCTCCTGGCACTCCACAAGCACGATGCCAGGCTGCCTCACCATGACTGCACAGGTATGCCAGCAGTGCTCGCCGTGCAGATAACTTATTGCTAATCACAACCTGGAAACCATGACAAAGTACGAGGTAATCTGGGAAGGGCTGACAACTCAGTCCTCAGAGGCTTCATGTAGTTCTGAAGGAACTGCTGCATACAGCAGACACACACATTTTTGCAGGATGAGAAATGCTGGTTTTCCTGTAAGTATGAGAACCATAAACTTAATTCAAATATTTTGAATAATCTTCCACCAGATACACTTTTTTTCCGTAAGAGCACAGTGGTGGTAAAGTAGATTTCAGTGTCAGCTTGATACCAGCTGCCAGATCGTACGTTCACATGTATACAGATACTTTCATCCTCTCGGTTTAGGAATTACTTTGTCCCCTCTCATGTCTCTTCCTGAAGTGAAGATTTGCTCATCTGCTACCCTAGTATAGAAAGAAACCACCTAACTGCTATAAAAAGACAGCCATCTATGAAATTCTGCCATTGAAACCATAAAATTACTACGTTACTCTACAGCGGGCACAGCAAACAGCACTATACGTTTACTTACAAGACACTGAGGATCCACTTCCTTACTACCTAAACATTGCTGCAGAAAATCTTCAGTGAACTTAAGTTAAAAGTAAGGTTTGACAGTGACTGTACAAAACACTCAGAGAAAGCCCATGGACTCTGCTACTGTGTTTTCAACCACAGTATTTCCATATAATAGAAACAATCTCAGTAATTACGGCTACCTCAAGTCCATACCAGTGGCATATAGCACAACCACCATATAAATACTAATAAATAAAACCACCCGGTCACGTTAAACCTAGGATCGGGAGCTTTGGGGACCAGGGGCCAGTCAAAGTCTGGCTGCACCTCTGCAAGCTGTCTTGTTAGTAAATACATTGGCATATTCAAAGAAGAGTTACATTTGTTTATTTTTTAGTGTTTCCACAGGTGAGCCACTTCTTTCCTGAACAAACCCACACCGTTTGCAATCATGTAACCTTTTCCTGGTGATGGGCATGCGTTTCTCCTGTGCTCACTACTTGCAATCACTTCCAGGCTTAACATTATACTGCAGAATGTAATTGCCATCCCTTAATGCAATTTAACAGTTGGAAACCAGGACGCGGTCCAGTGCCGCATGAGTTACACAGGCCACAGTTTTGGAACACAACACATCAAAATAATTAATTTTATTAATGTTGTAACACTGATGAACAAATTCTGCAAACACTTCTCACTCTGAAGGGCCCGGTGAGGCATTCAGTGCTCGCCCGAGGGACACACTTTACTGTTCACTGGTTTACCTTAACCAGAAGGGTACTTTTGGCCACTGTCTCCTACGTGCAGGTAGACTGCCATGTGCATTAACTGCCACGTATAAATAACAGCTGGTATGCAGCCACAGCCATATCCTAGTGAATCGTTTTACTTTTTTTCCAGCCAGAATCACAACTGTGTTACCAGAGGAATAATAAAAATACGGAGAGAATGCGTTTGTCCTCTCCAAAACCACGTTCTTCAGGAATCAAGTGGGGAGGTGATGGGAACCTCAGTTACTGTTCTCCTCCCAGCAACCAGCATTCTCTCCAAGAAAACCGATCTTAAAAATTTTCTTGGGAATCACTTCGGACCAATCAACATACTGTTCACAGTATTCTTTCCACTGCAGGTTTCAGAGAGACTGCGAGTCAGCATTTGCCAAAGCAAAACTTCCAGGTTCAGAAGCGTAAAGCGCGTCAGAAGGGCTGAAGGGGGAAAAAAAAGCACGCTCAACTGCTTGGATGGATCAGGTAGAGCAAAGGGGAAAGACGCTGCTCAAGTTCTCGGCCAACGACAGTCATATTGTCCCAACAAACCAGTTGATTAAAAAGAAGTCTGCAGCAACAAGAACAAAGTACGGGGCGGGGGAAGGGGGAGAAAAAAAGAATTGGAAAGAAGGAAAACAAAGCCCCACAAGTCGCCTACGGAGGGAAAGCCAGGCGCGCAACTGCCTGCGCACCCACAGCCAGGGATTTCAACATGGGGCCGAGGGAGGCCGGCGCAGGCGGCACTCGGGATCAGCCCCGCCGCGGGCCGGCCCGGCGCTCCCTGCACCCCGGGCCACCGCGGATGCCTGGCGCCCAGGCGGAGCCTTCCCCCCGCA